GGGTCGCCACTTCCGGGCGTTCACCTGGGACGCGCTCACCTGGGACGCGCTCACCTGCCTCCGGGCGCTTGGGCACCAGAATGAAGGACCGGCTGGAGCAGCTGAAGGCCGTGAGTCCCGCCGACCCCGGGAACCCGGCGGGCGGGGGCGGCTGCGGGGCTGGAGCTGAGCGGGAGACGGGCTCCCTTTCACTCCCCAAATCCAGGCGGGAGGGGGGCCGGGCCTGCGCTCCCCCAGCCCCAGCCGCATCCCGCGCCGGTCCCGCACCCTCCCTTCCCCACTGAGGTCATGTGCCGGTGATTCATCGCGGGGCCGAGATTTCCCTGGATTCCTCTAGTCTCCCCTGCCTCCACCCCCAAGCTGGACAGCGTCAGTCCAGAGCTGGGATCCGCGGGGGGCACTTGGGCCCAGAGGAGCTCTCTGTGAGGTCCGGGGACACCTCACCACCTGCCGGCTGCTGCCCGGCACTGTGCCGGCTTCCTCCGTTTCCTTCCTGGGGGGCGCGGATGACCTCAGGGTGCCCGGGTGACCTCTGAAGCCGTGCGCTAGGTACATGCCAGGATGGGTCCTACTCCTTGTCATCTGGTGGACTGTAATTATTAATTTATCCCGCGTCCTCGGGACAGCCGTGGCCGGGGCAAAGGATGTGAAGGTAGCTCGCCTCCAGCCCTGCTGCACAAAGGCTGTAAAACCTTAGGCCACTTACTCTTTTGAGCCTCTTGTTTCCTTATCTGTCAGATAGGGGTGATCCTACCTTAGAGATTTGTTATGAGATCAGATGGCACAATGAGACTTAACGTAGAGAACTGTTAAAGCATACCTAGGTTTTGGAGTCAGATATTCATTGACTCAATAAGTAATTACTGAGTGCAGTCTAGGGGCGGGCCCAGTGCTAAGCCCTGGGGACTGGGTGACACAGGCTCTAGCCCTCGACACAAAGTAGCCCATCTACCTGGGAGCTTGTTAGAAGTGCAGAAGCTTGGGCCTCAGTCTGGACCTACAGAAGATGCTTATTCGCCAATATTCCCAGCTGACGCATGATGGTCACATTAAAGTTTGGGAAGCAGGGCCTGGGGAGAACTGGGGCTGCCTGCTGGCCCCACGGCTTACTAGCTGTCTCTTAACCTCTGAGCTGAAGTTTTGTCATCTGTAAAACGAGCGCCTGTGAGGACTCAGCCCCAGAGAGCATGCCGAGCCCTTTGCACGGTGCATGGCACATTGAGGACCAAGAAACTATGATGCTACTAACAGTTAAAGCACTTCGGAAAAGTAGAGACCGCATACAAGTGCGAGTGACTGCGAGGATGACGTCACCGTTGTTTTTCTTTCCCCTCCCTTGTGCCGGGTGAGATCTTCATGACTCTTTCACCTGTTCTGTGTGGCAGGGCAGGGCGATCAGGAAGTGAGAGAAGTCAAGGGGCAGTGGTGGGAGTGAGCCTCCCTGTCCCCTACTTGCTCTTTGTCACCCGAGCCTCACAACCTCCCAGTTACCAACAGGGCAGAAGGTATTGGCCCTATTTTTGTAGAGGAGGAAACTGGATCTCGGCCTGGGTAGGAGGGATGCCGCAGGCCACAGTGCTGGTCAGGGCCTGCCAGGAGAGGGGCCCAGGCTCCTGACCTCACCCATTTGCTCTTTCTCTGATGCACCTTGGCTGGGGAGGCAGAAAGGGAAGAGAGGGTCACTGCCAAGGTCTTCCCATGTCAGCACACCCAGCAGTCCGAACAACGCGAGACTGAACAGCAGGCAGAGGCAGCCTCCTTTCCCTGAGTTAGGGACCCATTTCCAGAGAGCCCCCTCCAATAGCCCACTGCCAACAAAGAGCGAAGAGCCTTCACGGAGCTTGGAATTCCAGGTCTCAATGCAGTTGGCCAGGGAGCCCTGGCAAGCCCGTTTGCTTCTCCAAGCTTCCTTGTTACCGTCTGTGACATGGAGCTAATGTCATGGAGGTCCTGGTGCTTCCTCTCTTTACCTCTGGGGGTTGTGGGGGAAGTAAGACCGTGGGTGGTTCAGTTATTGTGGGAGCGCTGTCCTTACGGGAGTGCTGTTATTATGACTGTGCGGTGGTTATGGGCGTCTGCAAGCGTGGGGGTGCTAGTGTTTTGCAGCAGGGTGATGGGTGGTGACGTGGTGCAGTGAGGACTGGGCCGCAGGTTCAAAGGGTTCTAATTGTGGCCCCGCCACCTAATAGCTGCGTTCTTTATTGCCACTTTCCCTCTCTGTTTCTCTATTCCTCTGTAAAACAAGGAGTTTGGTTGATCTCAGGAGCCCTTTCTGGCAATGTGTACGTTCTGGGTGAAGACTGTTGTTAAGGTTTATATCAATTTTTGGTTTCTAGTCCAGTTGCTTTCCCTTCCAACCCCCAGGAGAGAGGTAGTTCTCACTGCAACAAGATAACCATCTTCTCTCTCTCATTCTTTTTTTTTTTTTTTTTATCAAGGAAGACATTTGTTAATCTGCACGAAACCAATTTCACACTGAGCAGCCTGTGCAATCTCTTTCTGCAGCATCTTTCTAAACCCCGGGGGAGGCGAGGTGATAACTGCCTCCGGATAGCTGGAGGACTGTCACGTGCAGGAAATTCGTTTTGCTCTGTGTAGATAAATGGAGATGTGAAATCGATGGGTAGAAATTAGGACTCTGCACAGAAGCATTTTTAGCGGGCAGAGCTGCCCAAGGATGGGCAGGGTTCGTTGTGAGGGAGGGAGGGAGGGAGGCAAGAAGCTTGTCGGGACATTGAATATGGTAGGGATTTGAGCATCTCTTTGAGGGAAGAGAGGCAAATGCGGAGGTTTAAGGCCTCCATCAACCCTGAGTACATGTGGTTGTATAAAATGATTCATTGTGAACCTGTTTGCGAAGCATCTTTTGGCCTCCGGAGTCCATAGGATTGAGGGCTCAGAGTTACACCTGTAAAGGGGATCGTTATACCTTTCCCACAAGGTCGCCAACAGGGTGAAATGAGGTAATCTGTGATGATCACCCACTATAGTAAACATGGGTTCCCCCAGCTTGAGCAGCATCCACACCAACGGGCATAGCGCCCTGAGGCCCTGGTCGCGAGACCTGGCCTGTCCCTTGCACCGCTCCTCCTGGTGGGCTTTTTCAGCAGCCTGCTTCTTTGATGACAAGGACAGGCTCACCAGGAATGGGCAGTTGCCTACACCCAGCCTGTCTCACCAGGCGGTTCTTGCTGACTTCTCACTAGCTGAATTTCGGAACCACTGAGCCCAGACAATGCCAGTCCAGGAACCTCTTGCCTGGTCCACTGTTCACTCAGCAAACATTTACTGAGCACCTACTATGTTCCAGGCCCTGGGGTGGTGCTGGGGTGTAACGGTGATTAATACATTTAACAGGAAGTTCCCAGTCAGCTAGGGAGACACAGAAGAAACAGACGCAGCGATACCGTTCTCGGGATAGAAGCAGCTGTTGGCCGGCTGCTGGGAGCTGGGGACTGGGCATTAGGGAGTGGGGACACTTCCCAGAGTGGTGCTCGAGTTCAGGTCCCGTTTCAGGTCCTCGTTAAAATCAAGTCTCGTCTCTTCAGAGGCCTGGAGAGTCTCCTAAGAAGAAAGGCGAGGCTCCTGGGTTTCCACGCGCACGCGCACGCGCACGCGGCGTCAGTGCTCTCTAACCTCTGCGCGGTGGCGGTGCTCACCCGCATCCTCTGCCGCCTCATCCTGCGGGGCGACCTCAGGGGCGCGGTGTTAGTTAGGCCAGATAATTGCGTGAAGCCCTGGTCTTAGAGAGGAAGTGGTCATATAAGGAAAAACAAAGGCTGTATTTCACGAACAGAGAAGCCCCCCCCAAATCAAAGGTAGATAATGATGATAGAGAAGCCAGTGATGTGTGAATAAAGGTCAAGGACTTTGGGTCCTGTTGGAGACTGATCTTCAGAGGACCGGGCAGGACTTGGGCCGTACCGGCCCCTCCAAGGCCAGCACCTGATGAAATCGACCACTTGGGGCTCTAACGGCCAGCTTTACTCTTTGCTTTCTGTTCTGTCTCGGGTCCTACAGGGCTTGTCTTTTGCCTTCTTCCCCATTCGAAGTTCTGGTGTCTCTGTGGGATCAGGATGCCTCAGGAACATGGAGCCAAACTTCCCCTTTAAAGCTTAATTCATTCTATAAATAGGTATTATTGAGCCCCTGCTGTGTGCCAGATGCCTTGGGCGGTCACCAATCTTAACATCCCGCCTTGAGAATCTCTTCGTTGAGGTTCCGTCCTTTGGTGGTAACGTTTCTACCCTGCCAGTGATTTCTTCCCCAGCTCTGGGAGAGTCGTCGTGCTGTGAGCAGACAGGAAGCAGAGCGGAGATGAGAGCGATGAGGATTGAGCGGGGGATTACAGACCCATCAGCCAGAGAGGCCAGAAGAGAACATGCCTGGATGAGAGAAGGAGATTAGTTTTATTTTTATTCCTGTGAGTGTGGGGGAGGCTAGGGGACTGGCAGGAG